CCGCCGGGAATTGAGGGCTTCATAAAGTATCAAGTGTGCACCCACGTTCGTCTCGAGCCCAATCAACTTGCAACTGAAGTCTCTTGCCCTACTTCAAATAAATACAAACTTATTCTCGAATATGTCTGCCAGCGAAGTGCCTTACCCCTTCCAGTTCGACTCCCTGCGGACACATGAACCAGGTGTTGGACCACAGGACGGCACCACCCAGGATGTGACCGTCAAACTTCCCAACGTGCGCGGCCGAATCCCATCATTGCAAGCCTCTCGACTCCGTACGATGATGCTCGAGGCACATGGGGACCCAAACAAGATCCTTGCACACGCCTGCTCCTATGACGGTCTTTCCTCCCGCTTGGTCGAGGAGGCCGGGTTTCCCATGGTCTTCCTTGCGGGTTACGCGGTTGCCAGCTCCTATGGCCTCCCCGATACCGGGTACATTGCCATGGCAGAGATGTGCGACAAGATTCGTGATGCCGTGCGACAAGTTTCTGTTCCCGTTATGGCGGATGGTGACACGGGATATGGCAGTCCGCTGAATGTTAAGCGAACAGTGGAGAGCTTTGCCGCTGCTGGTGCGGCTGGCGTTATGATTGAAGACCAACAGTGGCCTAAACGTATGTCTGGCATTGCTTTCCTATCCTCACATGACCTTTTCGATGTTAACTCGGAATCACTTTAGGGTGCGGCCACACCAAAGGCAAAAGCGTAGTATCGCGCGAAGAAGCCTTCGCTCGGATCAAAGCCGCTTGCGACGCACGTAACCAAGGCCTAGATATTTTTATCTTGGCGCGGACTGACGCTCTCATCCACGGGTGGGACGAAGCCATGTCCCGAGCCCAAGAATTCCGCCGTCTGGGTGTCGATGCAGTCTTCGTTGAAGCCTTACCTGACCGCGAGGCTATGAAACGCTGTGTCCAGGAAGTAGGAATCCCCATATTTGCTAATATTATTGAAGGAGGAAAGACCGAAAACCTGTCCGCGAAAGACCTCGCACAGTTGGGTTTCTGCGCTGTGGCGTATCCGTGGACGTTGGTCGCTGCGCATTTGCGGGGGCTGCGCGAAGCCCTTGATGGGTTGAAGCGGAGCATGACTGTTGGAGCGCCACCGATGATACTGACATACGATCAAGTCTGTGAAGGTGTTGGGTTTAATGAATATTGGGTGAGCGTTCTCATTCATCCTTCTTCGCTTCAGGTGACTTGTGCTAATAACTGCTGATATTCACAGGACCTGGAGGAGAGATATAAATACGAGTGAGCATGGGGGTTTTCTCGTGGAGGTCAGATCATATTAAACCTTGTGATGAATGATTGTAGTTATAGTGTCTCAAGGCGTCGAGCAATACAAGACATATACGAATAAGGACGGAAATTCCTCTCGAGTCAACTCGGCATCCTTGACCCGGTGGAGCCAACCTACCGTTCCATTTTGGATATCCTACTCAACACAACCTCCTTTTGGTGGCCAAGCGAAATTCTGCAGGACCGTTGCATCGTTATATCCTCTCCAGCTTTTTATATCGAGCTCTAGTCGTATGACGACGAACGAATACACACTGATATATACCAGTCATCCCTAAAATCGGGATATTCATCGAAGACCTGGATGAAGCGACCAGACAACATCACAAGTTTGTACGAGTGCTGGATTATAACCGAGTTGAAACATGGCTTCGCGGCTGCGCGACGTGATATCAAACCATCAATCCCCCCGGATGAAACTGTAGATGCGCGCCATTGCATACAATGTTTCCGCTACGACATACCTGTCAGCCTCTGAACTCTGTCGATCATAATTAGGCGTAATTGTAAGGAAAGTAACGTTTAGCTAGCAAGCACTACTTCAGAATGGGGCAGTGTTGACACTAAAAAACTGAGCGGTGGTTGGGCGTTTGAACTAGCAGGGTTGGAAAAGATACTATACTAGTCTTGGGCTGGTCTCGAAATTAGTAGCACGGACCTCGTAGGTCCATTGCTTGATTTGTGAGTCAACGCCAGCAGCCTAGTCAAGATCTACTAGTAATCTTCCCAACTTGTCAAGATGCGAGGCTGGCAGTCTCTTTTACCTAGATCCGCATGAGTTGTTCGTTTTATCGGCGGTGCTTTGCTTGGTAACGTCAGGCAACGCAACGGGCGCCGAAATTAGACAAGGTGAACGAAGAATGCTGGTTTTTGGGCTGCTTAATTTCTCGACCCTAGCAATAATTGCGTATGGTAGTTAGTTACCTTGATAACGGGGATTGAGAATTGTAATTGGTTATAGTAATATATGTTTGTTCATCTCGCTGCTCCTTACAGTGTTGCAGAGCGCTAACACTGGAGGGAAAAGAAATGGGTGAGATTATGCCTGATTACCATGGACCATGGTAGAGCCCCTTTGATCTAGACCTTCATATCGAAGGCAAGCCGGCCATGTGGCTGGCCCTATCGATTCTTACCCGTGAATTGGTTATGGAAGAAATCCAAGCGCTGGGAGCTGTTACGACGCCTTGGACAGATGCCTGTTCCACTTCTGAGCTATCGGGAAGTCTTAATAATAGGCACGAAAATACGGGCTCCGTTGTTTAAGACACAAAATATAGTAAGGGCAACTGAGTAGGACGCACAGGCAATAAATGATTATAGGAATGTAGTTTTGCCATCGGTAATTTATTAGATCTATACTACCAAGCTGATCTAGCCCCAAGGTTCTTTGTTTCTAGCGTATTACCCGCCAGCTCGTCCAACAGTCAACTGAACAAACTAGTATCCAGCTAGTAATAATATTTCTGATGTTAGCACTAACTTATTGTAGCTAACCAACACCCAGTAAATGTCTCCTGAGCTATTTTCTAATCAGAACCGAGTCAAATCGCTCTCAAAGGATCCACCCGCATCGCCAGGCAAATACAGCCTTAGCACATAAATAGGCTGCGGCACACACCAAACTCTCACACAATGCGTAACGTCCACCCGCGCCTACCTTTCCCTTCCAAAGAACCCTAAAATACCTTCTCACTACCCCTCCACTCCACCACAATGGGCCAACAACCATCCGCACCCCGTCCAGGCACGCAGCTCCAAGTGATCGGCGGGGGCCTCTCCCGCACAGGAACTGCCTCTTTCAGCGCCGCCCTGGAGATCCTCCTCGACGGGCCCATCTACCACGGCGGCACCCAAACCACCATGGGTCCGCCCGTCGAGATGAAATCCTGGATCGAGATTCTGCGCGTCTGGCTCGTCGGCGACCGCACCACAGCTCTTTCTCTCATGCGGCGTCGCACCGAGGGCTACGCCGCCATCACAGACTCCCCTGCCTCGCACTTCGTCCCGGAACTAATCGAGCTGTATCCTGAGGCCAAGGTCATTGTGACCGTGCGGGACAGAGATGCATGGGTTAAGAGCATGGCGCAGATCAGCTCGTTGGCTACGATGTGGTTTTTGAGGGGGGTGTTGTTGCCGTTGCCTGGTATGTACTTTACACAGTATTTTTCAACTACGGGAACACGAAAACATGCGATAGATCGGAACGTTTTCTGACAAGAGTACCTTGATGTTAAGGAATGCGCCACTTCGTCACATACATCGAATGTCTCCAAGCACAGTGGGACACTCGCTACGATGGCTGTCGAGATAATACTTGGATTTATGATCGTCATATTGAGTGGTTGAAGGAGGTTGTTCCCGCTGATCGTTTGGTTTTCTTCAATGTCAAGGAAGGCTGGGAGCCGCTTTGTCGCGCGCTGGGGAAGGAGGTTCCTAAGGATATTCCGTTTCCGAGGGTTAATGACTCCCAGGCAATCAACCGAGTGGCTGAGTATCATATCAAGCGTGGGTTGCTGCGTTGGGCGGTGGCTTTTGCTGTTGTGGGTGTGCTTGGGGGATGGTGGTATTTGGCGTGATGCTTTGTGAGGTTTGTTGTGAAGTGCATACGCCATAAATGTAGTAGTATGAAATTGTTGATGGTATAAAATAGATGGTCGCCGTCGACTCTTTAGTATCAGATTGTTCGGTATTGGAGACCTTCCTACCGGTTATGAATTTTCGCTGGCTTTGAACGTGCAGAGATCCGGATCTAAGCACATGAATATCAAGGAAAATCGAGATAAGCTGCTTATGGCCTGAAGTTGAATTATCATTTCATAAACTGGGGTCCCTGAATATTAGGGACTGCCAACATGGATAGGTCCGATGGCCTACCCAAGATATCCCAACCTACTGTGGCTGTGTAGTTGGAGCATTGGGCTTTACTAGCAGCGCATAACGCCAGTATACGCAGACAACCATCGGGTTTCTAGCCAAATGCCGATATGGTCACTTTGTTCTTCCTGAGCCAGTCAATGCTTGCGGTCCGCAGTAATAGTATATCTAACTCTACCAGCTACAGGCTTTCAATATATATGATAGTTTAATGGCTCATAAGACAATTTGGTAAATGAAAGCGAGCCTTTATCTCGTCTAACGAAAAGCTCTATCATTACTTAGAGCCCACATACCAGAGGGAGAGAGAGGAGTGAGGGAGCGAGGGAGTGGGGGAGAGAATGAAAGAAAGGAAAGGGAATCATGGTACGTGAATATTCCATGCACGCAAATGTTCTAAGCCTGCTGGAGTGGACCAGAAACCCTGGAATGAGCACCTGAAAGGAATTTACACAGCGAACAGCAATGTAAGGAAAACAAAACAATGAATAAATAACTTAAGAAGACGAGAATATAACACGTACTTAAAGAAGCAAGGGCAATTCAGAAAGATGAGACAGAAAACGGACTAATATATATTGTGGAACATCTTTCTATCTGCGCTGGATGGATACGCTATACTATGAGTATTCTTATTACACTTTACAGCGCTTCGACATAGATAATATTAGTATTAACTGGGCTATCAGAACTTGTGAAGACTCAAAATTAAGTCAGATATTTGTTAATGACCCAAAATCTCGAACATACTAGAGTGATTTTTGTATTTGCGATCGCGATAGATGCCGCCTGACTGTCACCCACCATCTGCACTATATGCTAGATCCTAAGAGGGATTCTACTACCCTTGATAGTACGACCCCATCTAGAAACTAGTGCTGGAACATTTCTATCTTCCCACTGAGGGTAGTGAGGCGCATCATTTTGGGCCCTCCGGGTAGAGGTCATGGCGTCGAGGAAATACACCAAGCCTCAACACGGCCACTTCCAAAAATCGGCTGTAAATCATCGAACGGACACGGGCAAGGGTTCTCACTGACATGATGAATTCTAAGAGGGGACAGTTCCTTGGAAGGTCCACAAGTTTTAGAATTAGCCAGACCCTAAGTGGTCTTCCAGAGATTCGGGGTCTGGCATAAGATGGCTCCACTAACTACGCGACTCTTCTGCTACCCAGGAACAGGCACCAGCCAATTTGCTCTCGTCATCGTGAAATCTCCCCAATGGAGCCTCTGATATGAAACGGCAACTCTCTCCCTATCTGTGACCTCGACGGTCTTTTGACACGTCTATTCAAGGAGAAAACCCCGCTTGTAATAGACACCGCCATGGATAACCCTTCGCGAGAGTTCCCGCTCTTCCCTGCTGGCACGATGCTGCGACCAGACCTACATATGCGAAGAAAAAAGGACCTATTCTGGTTACCGATATTACATCAGTAATACTTAGCGAGGCAGGAACAGATGCAGGCAACGTGACATTGCTCTCTTGCGTGATTTGCTCCGAAAGCTACTCCAACAAAGGCTACGCAAGCATTCGTGCCAGTTGCTCCACGGGATTAATCAACTCCAATGCCTAATAGCTCGGCACTGATTGGAGGCGGGGAATTTGTGGGGTCGGAATTTGCAGATCCCGATTAGTTAGCCGCCGTACCTGCTGCCATCATGGGGGTTGCGGCAGCAGATATCACCGCATTGATTGTGTCCTCGCTGGGCAACTGCTTCAACCAAGTAAAATTCTTCGTGATTTGCCACTGCATGTAAGATGCTTTGCATAGTTCAGGGTTCAAACTATGGTAGCACATGAGGATTGGTATAGCCTGACTGTCGACTGTGTGCACCACACCCACACCTCTTCCTCTTTCCTACGATGCCAGCCCTGCTTCGCGTAGCCATGGATACATCTGTTACAGGAGACTTCGTTACCCATGCAGATCGGCTATCTATACGCCTTGGCATTGGCTTGGCGCCAATTCAGTATCTACCAGAGACTTGGCCAAGCAGCTGGAATAGCCAACAACAAGAGCTAGAGTTCTATCCATCTCGTTATGTGGATGCCTCGTGAACGCGTACACTGCGGCAAACAAACTGCCAGAGGCGGGAAACTCATACGCCCTAAGACCCAGCAAGCAACTCTCAGCGGCCATAGACTCTGCATGTGTTTAGATGACGATATGACTGGTGGATATATTGGGATCGAAGCATCGAAACATGAATGTGGGACGGGGTGACGCTCACCCCTTCTAGACCTCGAAGGTTCTCTCGTCGTCAATATCGGAGCGGCAGAAAACATATATAATGATCAGGGACTCCGAAACCTTGAGTCTATCGTCCAGAAACTCAAGTTCATTCTTCAGTTACCAGTTTTCACTCCTTAATACCCCTCTCAAGATGGTTCACTTTCTTTCGCCTTTGGCCATTAGCGTCGCCATACTGGCGTCTCTGGGACTCGGTCATCCCGGACACGATGTTAAGCAGGAAGCTGCTGAACGGGCTGAATTCCTCAAGCGTGCACCTGCGCAGTCTCGCAGCCTTGCCCAATGTGCCTCTACTCTCAAGGCCCGGGGGGGTTGAGGAGGGTAATGTCGCTCGTCGTGCGAATACCCTCCAGAACCTGCGTCGCGAGAGAGGACTGACCAGTGAGTATTGTGCCATAACTGCTATCTTGGACTTGACGCAGATTCCTTTTTCAATTTATTGTACGGCCAACTGACAGGTTAGACACCCAATACCTCAAGGCTCGTGATGTGGACTCCGTCCTCGATACCGATCACCATTCCAACTTGACCGGTGTCAACCCGTCAACCGATCCAAGTGTCCTCTTTGCATCCGGCGGCACCTGCATCGTCCAGCCCGAAGTGACTCAGGGCCCATACTGTAAGCTTCAAAATCCCCCCTTCAACCGAAATCAGCATCTGACAATGTGTTCTGCAGATATTGCCGGAGAGCTCATTCGTCGCAACGTGGTCGAGGGCCAGACCGGTGTGCCTTTGTTCATGGATATCCAGCTCATTGACACCAACACCTGCGAGCCACTGCCTAACATCTACACGGACATCTGGCATTGCAACGCAACTGTATGAGCCTCCCAAGTTGTTTCTTCATCATAGCTCAAGTACAAATTTCTAACCTCTCCCGCTCTTTGCGGAAAGTAGGGTGTCTACTCCGGTGTAGTCGCGAGCGGCAACGGCAACACGAACGACGAGAGCAACCTGAACACCACCTTCCTGCGTGGCGTCCAGCCCAGCGGAGACGACGGAGTCGTACGCTTCGAGTCGATCTTCCCGGGACATTACACTGGCCGTACGGTTCACATTCACGGTACGTACACATACACATTACCCCCCTTCCCTTTACCTCATCACTTCCTTGAAACACACCCTAACTAACAGAACCATCCCACAGTCGTGACCCACCCCGCCAACGAAACCAAGATCCTCCCCAACGGCACCATCGCCGGCGTGTACGACGGCCACTCCTCGCACGTGGGCCAAATCTTCTTCGACCAGGACCTGATCACTGAGGTCGAGAAGACCAGCCCCTACTCGAGCAACACCCAGAGCCTGACCGAGAACTCCGATGACAGCATTCTGGAAACCGAGGCAGACACGACTGATCCTCTCATGGAGTATGTCCTACTCGGTGACAGTGTTTCCGATGGTATCTTCGCTTGGATCTCGATCGGTGTGAATAGCTTGCGTGATGACTCCCTGTCTCCTGAGGGGTACTGGACTGAGGACGGTGGAGAGGTCAACGATGACTTTGAGATGAACATGGCTGGTATGGGAGATATTGCTGGGGCGGTACCGAGCTCCAGTGCTTCTGCTTCTGCTACAGCCTCTGCTTAGTGGTTGATGGTCGATTCGGTTTGGAGAGTGTATGTCTAGGGTTAGTGGATTGGCATTGGGTGCTTGGTCTTGTCAATGATGACGTCGGTGGTGTGTGATATATAAGGGGCCCTTCAACATTATAGCCTATGTAGGATAAGCATACTTACAGTTCCTAGCAAGTACTATATTGTCAAGATATACCGACCAACTTGCGCGGTTCCAGCATTTTCGGAAGGACAAAATATCTTTAGATTTGTTAATTCGGACATAGTTCCAACCCAGATAGTAAAAGCTAAAGTAGATGGCATAGTTTCTGCTACTGTGTTAGGATCGAATAGGCATTGCCTGAAGTCATCCCATCAGTCCTTCCCAGGACACTAATTCGTCAAACTCTGCTCCCACGCTGGCATAGATCGAGAAATAATATGGCCGTTTCCTAAAAATTGCCATATCAGAAGACCCCTTTCAGTTGAGCATTCGCGCTAGGGAGCATTCTATTAAGAAGATTGGCGACTCCAAGCTTTATCAGGCCATTTAGTACCCCCCAAATTCCTCTCTGTATTTATCGTCAGCGAGTAGTAGCATCTTCCTGTATTCTCATATTTCGTCCAACCGCAATACTTAACAGAGCGCGGCGAGCGAGCTTTATCCCACCCTGTAAAGCTTGAGCCACCATCATGGAATATTTGTCGAGCAAGACCATCAATGTCCTTGTGCGGACACGCCATAAGAGATCGCAAGCTCTTGGAAAGAAATTCGCCTGTTGTATAAATACGATAGGAATTGTACAGATAAAGCTCCCAGCCGTCATCATCATACAAAATATCTGTCTGAATTTTGACCTTAAACAAAGGGTTTCCGTTAAACACGCAGAAATGTTGGAGATCATTCTGTAGCTTTCGACTGCTAGGATGGCTAAGAGATTTCTTTTTGTCGAGACGCACCAGCCTCTTTTCTTTTTTGCACAACTGTATCAAGTGCAGTTTATCAACGAACGTGATTCTGGTACACGGGCAAATCTCAACTTCACCGGCATATGGCATACAGAGAAGACTGCCGCTTTGAAAGGAACATCTACTGCAACATTTCGTTCGCTTCCTACGCGTATCCTTGAAATCCCGGAGAGCCTGCCAGGTAGAATCTGGGTGAAGAACTTGACAGTCGCGGCAGTATCTCCAATGGGCGCTCTCGAGGCGAAGCAGGAACTGTAGTCTGGGTTGTTGCTTGATCTCGGTGTATATTGTTTTTCGCTTTTCGATGGGGAGTAGCTGATGAAGCTGGATTTTCTGCTCCTCAAAGTAGGCCTTGAGACGGCATAAATTATATCTGCAGCTTAGTCCGAAGCAGATCAGATCTGGGGTGGAGAGGAATTCGAATATCTTTTCAACCACCTCCGGAGGGAGGACACTAAATGAAGCTCTGTGTTTCAGATGGAGGTTTGTCAACATGGATTGCATAGTGTTGTTGAAAGTCCTCATGATTTGAGGTTTGGGGGCCCTTCTGTGATTTGGTAACTGTTGGGACATATCCCTCCGTCGACTGATGGGATAGGCGCGAGGCTTCATCTTTTGGGCAATAAATATAATAAAGTGAATACTGAAACGTTGAAAGGCTGGGTGAATGAAGAGGGGGGAGGAAGGGAAAAATTCTTCATCTGCAGTCATCACAAGGTCCAGAGAACATATGTCGACAACATGACGCGGGTGATGAGATGGAGGCGCAAGCACCGGATCAGCTTGCCGTCTGTGGACGTCGGTTGGTTCTAAACCTCGAGCACTGGCTAACCTACCGTAATCCATCAATCTTACACTGTATTTCAGCTCACAGTGTAACATAGTTCTAGAATAGAAAAAAGGGATGAAATATTACCTTATAACTTAGTGTTTGGGGCCGACAGATGGATAGCCTGATATCGTATTAATGAAGGTCAGGTGAAAGGATCCCTAAGGCGGTGTATTAAGCCCTTAGCAGGTAGAGATGCTCCGATCAGGTGCCTAGCTACGATGGATGTTCGGATACCTTTTTGATGGCTAGAAAGCAAGCCGATCTGAGGCCTTCTCTACCGGTTCGAGCAGTGAAGCTCAAGTAATGATTATGGATGTAGCTAGAGGTACATTCCAACCCCCTAAAACATTTCCCAACCGTAAAATGAACATTTCCCATCCCAATAACACCATTAAATTTGGCATTGTAGTCCTTTTGAACGTTTATATACTATTCACAGTATAAGTCTGGCACATACGACCACAGGGTGTGGAAAATAGGGCTTCCCGTCCGCTCAGCCGTACTCAAGCCACACGCCGGGAGGTTAGTAGTTGGGTGGGTGACCACCAGCGAATCCCTTCTGTTGTATGTAGACTTTTCTTTTTTGGACTCTTATTATACAGTATTTATGTTTAGTGAATATGTTCAAACATTTTCTGGTTTTACGATGCGTCCCTCAGCGACAAGCCTTATTGTAGAGACTTTCAGGCTTTCATCGGGGACTCTATTGAGGCTCTGATTGACTCTGGTCGACAGAAAGTAAGGAAGATGTTAGGTACACCATGTTAATTCTTGCTGTTCAAGGAAGTGGTTTAACACCGGCGGCGCATGAAGACATTGGAAAAATCAGGCCAGTCCAGTTAAACTTCCAGATACCCACTTTCGAGGATTTCACGCACTGTAAGGCGCGCATTTGGATCTGGGTTAAGAACTTCCACCAGAAATTGGATATCTTCACCCGAAACACCTTTCTCAATCATGGTGTTAGCCCACATGTATGCCTCTTCCGGCTGTGGAGTAGGCAAAAATTTGGCGCATTGCTCATCCTCAGCGTAGAATGGCACAGAGGACAAGTCGAAATCAATTGCAAGCTGATCACGGATGACATTCCCCTTCTCTGCTAGGGTACCGGTCTGAATTGAATCGTACATCCCCGGTGACTTGAAGTCCACCTGTGCTTGAAGCAATTGCGCCAACTGTAGATCATCTTAGTAGTGATCGCAACATAGACGAAAAGTTTGTCTTTCTGCCGAGATTACTAACTATTACTCCCCAGGACCAAACATCTGTACTCGAAGACCATGGTTTTCCAAAGTGAACTTCAGGACTTCGATATGTGAGAGAAGTGATCTCTCGGGTAGATGGTTTGCTAACTATAAGGGTTGTCAGACATACTGATGCAAAAGAGACTCGATGAACAAACCCCAAGGCAAAAAAAAAAAAAAAAAGTCACATACTAGAACCACAATCTGCAAGTCTGACAACCAGATCGCGGACATTCTCATTCGGCTTCGAGGGATCAAAACCCCCAAGTGCAACATTCTCGATTTCAAATCTTGGAACATGCCATTGTTAGCTTTCGATTGCTGTCTGTCGGGTCTCTGTGATGTTTATTCTTACCAGTGTAAACCAGGCCTTTCATATGCACTGTAAATATGCCGAGAAGGACGCCCTTCATTATCCATTTGATTTCTTTCGTAGTAAACGGCCTCACATTTCGAGCATCCCAGAGCGAGTCCGTAAATGCTTCAAGGACCATCATCAGGCCACTAGGCTCCGACTCAGGGACATAGTCAACGAGCTTTCGGATCATGGGATCCTTTGCAAAAAGCCTTTGCATCTCCAGTTCATGCTTGAAAGCAGAGAGAGCACCGGACCAGGATTCTTCATTTTGATCTGCTAATGGCCGTTTCATAATGTACTCAGCGTCGGGTTTAGAATCGTCAAGTCCCAACCATACATTGCAACTTTTGCCGCGTACTGTTCCAAGGGGCCGGACAAGCCGGTACCGTCTTCCCGCTTCACCCTGGCAGATCAACCCAGCGGATGCCATGCTGGAAACTGGTGCAGAGAATTTTGATGTACAGATTTGGTAAAAATGTGAAAGGCTTGGTTGTAGGATGCGCGGTGGGCGATGAAGAAAACATGGGCGCCCTGCCTTCATCTCGGCGCGTATGTGACTGATTCTAAGACGACGTAGTTGCAACGCGAGTGTTCGTTCCATAGCCGCCGCTGCCGCCGACCGCGCTTTTTGTATGGCTCGCTTCCGTAAGTTTTCGTACTAACTGCTGTTTTTGTTTTTGCTTGTGCCTCCCTATTTTATCGGTAATTTGACGAGCTTGTACCAATCTGCGCGTTCAAGACTTAGTACCTCACGAGAGTTTTGAAATAGTAAAAGGTGTGACTCTGTGGTGCTAAATCGCTATAGGTAGAGACAGGTGGATGTACGGAATTCACATAGATCTACACCCAGGCCACTCATTACACCCGTAATTTGACCCAAAGCCAAATACTGTGCGTTACATCAACGGTTCAAGACTTCATAAACACTTGATCGACTAGGCACTGGATTACTTAAAGACGGTATATGAGCGAGGGTCAAAGCTGTATTGTGGTATACCAAGGAAGGTCCTGGTCTGCAAGCCTTCTATCTCAGGGTGTCCCAAGTCCTAAGACTGCGATACATCCTACGAGATTATATCAACGGCGTTTAAATGACGGTGCTCCTACTGAAGGAATACATTAGCATATCCCGGTGGGTGCTAGACATCGAGAAACCTAAGACAACGGCAGTGGCAGGCTCGTCCGTAATAAGAGGGGAGGTAGGGACGGGGGAAGAATGGGAGGGAGACACAAGCCTATGTGTGTGTGCGGGAGGGGAGCATCATTACAAGCTATACAGGTGGATTATGCATACCAACTGCACAGGTTACTGCAGAGGCCAGCTACACCATTCCGAGGGCCAAGTCTTGGGCTCCCGAATTGATGGCCAGATAGACTCGAAAATCTCGCTATCTTCACTCCTTATCATAACTTCCTGATCATGACTGGACTTGAGCCGGTTTTCCAACTGCAATCTACCATCTCCGAGCCACTCGACCTGCCATGCACCCGCCATCTTGTGACTAATTTCCCCTGCAGTGACTGGTAGACGGTGACCGATGCCCGTGCGCACCCTCGACTTTCCGAACTTGCCAAGGAGCGGATGTATGCGGAGCAGCTGCAGACAACTACCCATCCGCTGGCTCTGCGGGCCCGTTCGGATGCGATTAAAAATTGCCTTGGCCAGCGATTCATCGATGGCTGAGTTGATCATGCAGTCCCGGATGGTCCATTTGGGGATCTGGCGGGAGCGGTATGGGAAGAGCTCTTCTTCGTATGCGCTCAGCTCCCGCGGCGGAACCGGCGTCCTGTCGTCGGCCTTACTTGCCGCTAGGCAGCTGAGGACGAGATCCAACGACTGTAGCGCTGGGAACAGCGCCAGAGCATCGTAGGCTCGCGCCTCAATGGGGTGGCCTCTGTGTCGCTGCACGCCGATCCACAGCGTCCGCAGGGAAGGGCAGCGGGCTGCAATGCGGGCAATGACAGCTGGGCGAAAAATGGGAGCAATATATCCTTTATGTGAGAGCTTAATCGCCTTGTCTATTGGTTGGAACTGTGCGCGCTTGTAGTGCAGCTTCAACTCGGTCAGGGTTGGGCCGTGTCGGTCCAGAACGGCGGTGGGAAGTATCGCCGGGTCGTATCTTCCCAGGAGACAGAGGTATTCTAATGGTGGGAGAGCGTCAAACATCCCCTTCACTGCTGGTGGCCAGGATGGAGAGCCTTTTGGTGGGTTGAGGCTAAGTGTTAACCGCTTCAATGCTCGGAAGGCCTGCAGTTCCGTGATGGCCGTCAATGCGGTTATTTCCTCAATTGTACCCGCCGCCCACGCAGTGAGATAACCCAGATCAGTAATCTGGGACCACCTTTCCACCTGCTTCGCAGTCATCTTTGTGACCAATGGCAATGACAATATCTCCAACTTCGCGCGCGGAGCCTCAGCGACTTCGCTCTCTGGCGGCTGGAATGGGGGCCAGCGTGTATATACCGAGGATGTCCTATGCAAGGTTTTGACACTGATCTGAAATGATAAATGCTTTATATGCCGCGCTTGATGGAGAAGGTCCCGCAGAACGCGATCAGGATCCTCTCTAAAGGCCCTCATGTGCCTATCATCATGGCAAATGACCGTAACGTCATGTAGCACAGGGGATTGAAGCCATTTGGCCCGCGCCTGAATCCAGCCAGGACTAAACCGACGAAGAGGGAATACAGACACACGACAGTAGGGATGCACCTCCGCGACGACATCCAGAAGCTCAGCATAATCTGCAAAAGCCAGGATCTTCAAATTCTGCAGACATGGCAGCCGCTTCACCAGGACGATGGATGGGGTCCAATCACCTTTGAATTCACACAATAGTGGAACCTTGACATCTTCAGGAAGGCTTTCTTCGAGATAATCGCCTATGCTCTCGTCCGAGACCGGCAGACTGACGGGAGAGCTTCGGGCAAGAAGTGTCAGATGTCTAACATGCGGCAAGATTCGGCTGGCGTCCAGCAGCTGGAGTACACGAATTTGGGGCTCGTGGGATTTGAAGGATACTGTGATGCTTTTATAGAGACGGGGCGCGACAATCTGACTCCACTCACGGTTGACCTGTGATAAGGCTCGCAGGGCTTCCCGCGACACGTCGCCCACCTAGGCCCCGGGATCAGCAAATCTCAAAACGCGGATAGTAGCACTCTTACTGCACCTGCCACGTAAAGCTTCAGCTCTGGTGGCAGACTGTCCATGGCTCTTAGTTAAGATAAGCCACAGGCGATGAATTTGATGGAGGGGACCAACATGGCAATAAGAATCACATATGTGAGTCACATGAATCACGGGCGTGGAATCATGATCCGGCCTGTCCACTTCACCGTAAGCACTAGTTTTCAGGTATCTTGTCTCCCAACTAGTCTACTGCGCCGAAAAGCAGACCCAGGCCGGTTCAGAGAGCTCGTGTGTCGAAAGAGAATATTTGTCAAAATCCATCCTTTTGTAACCACACCTGAAGAAGCAGCGATATCGTGCTATGGAAGGTAGACACTTTCATAATGAGTCTAGACAATATCACTCTTAAAACAACAAGTTGGGTCGTTGAAAAAAAAAAAAGAAAAAAGAAAAGAAAAGAAAAGAAAAAAGAAAAGAGAAAAAAAAGAAAAGAAAAAAGAAAAAGAAGAAAAAGAAAAAAAAACAAGAAAGCGTTGCAATAATACGATCAGAGAGGCCCTACATACAGCGATGTCACGGTGGACACGACGTTAGTGATATAGGCTGTAATATATGTCGTCAGTAGATCGCATGGAATCACTTTATCATTCAAAAATACGAATTCAGAGGCTATGCTTACTACATTCTATAATGACTCATAAGGCGGATAAGGAGGAGACAAGGAAAAACGCTATTTGCAGTGTGATACGGGCTACAATTAGCCTACAATGCCCAAGGCCTGGATGTGTTAACTCCAACGACACGGCACCACCATACTCTCCACTTTCACATACAACGCTAACGCTCTAGAGACATTTATTTGTCTGATTCAACACACGTTCTTCATATCCCAATTCAAGGGCCCAAAAGAGTTGGTTTGTCTATACTGGCATCTTCTTGGGCGAGGAGGAGCTCCATGTGGGTCCCGGAGGAGCTCCGTGCACTAATAGTATAAGCTCGGTTATTGTGCTATCTGGTTCTTGATAAGGCTCAACTGACCACTCCGACCTTCTTTATGAGCGAATAAAGGAAACATCTATTTCACCTCTAGGTTATCAGTAGATATACCCACCAGCCCTCGTGATCTGTTAATCCCATACAATGTCCACAAACGACATCCGAGGCCGACTTGCCCTAATAACCGGTGCCTCCGGAGGGTCAGTTTTCTCCTCCAATCAATCCCTGGGAATCTAGTCCTCCAATTGGCCCCAAATTGAATCACCAGAACTAATAAGCCTCTAACTATCAGCATCGGCTCCGCCTGCGCCCACAAGCTCGCCGAAAATGGCGCCCACCTAGCCCTCACTTACTCCACCAATCTTGCCGCGATACAATCCCTCCACGCAGATCTGCAATCTCGCCATCCTGATCTTCGCATTTCCACCCACAAAGTCGACCTCCGCTCCGCTACCGACATCACCTTATTATTCGACCAAATCATTGCCCAACATGATGGCCACAGCCCCGACATCCTCATCTCCAACGCAGGCACTGGCAAACGAATCACCAATATCTGGGACATCGACCTATCAGACTTCGACGACATGATCACTACTAATCTCCGCGCATCATTCATCCTAGTCAAGGGCGTGGTCGAACACATGAAGGCGCAACGTTGGGGCCGTATTGTTTTTATGTCGTCTATTGCCGCTTATGGGGGTGGTATTAATGGGTGCCGTAAGTTAATCCCTATCAATTCTACTTAACATATGCGTATAGGGAAAACGAACATTACTAATAGTGATTATATGATATATAGATTATGCAGCTTCCAAAGGTGGCCTCACCGGCATGATGAAGAATCTTGCTACCAGACTATCTGAGTATAATATCAGCGTGAATGATGTCGCTCCCGCAATGATTGGGGATACGGGGATGATACCGAATGCCGAGGCTGTGCCGGAGGTGGTGAAGGGGATCCCGTTGGGGAGGCTGGGGACACCGGAGGAGACGGCCAACGTGGTTCTGATGTTGGTGACCACGGGGTATATGACGGGGCAGAGTCTTTTGCTGGCGGGAGGGTTGAGATGAAATTCCTGCTTGGTTGGCTGAATTTTTCCCAGATATAGTTCAAGAACTGGGTTGACAATGGAAGGAGAGGTTGGTTTTAGAGAGGTGTGGGTGCGTAGAATTCTGCAGAAATTGTTTCTTTATTTAGTAGCTGGATGCATTATCGCAACCGAAACTACTATGGAAAGTGATTGTGTTAGAACAGTATCCCAGGTGTGACAGTGCTAACAATGAGTGCTATAAGTAAAATATATAGTAATAAAGAATTACCTTACGCACCTAAAATGTAGGTATTCCAGTGGGGCTCAAAAACAAATGCGAGCGCTAAACTAGAGAATAAATTCATTTGCATACAGGCTGTTAACATCTGATTCTACATCCACAACCACCGCAGTATCTGCTGTCTGCTGACCCATTAAACAGGCAGGACAACCTTGACTCCCATGTATTCTCGCTGGTGCATGATCTTTCCATCAATGAGCACCTGATCAGCTCCAAGTCTATTGCGCACTGTATCCGTTGGGTCTGTGACAGTGGAAATCTGGATCTCGCGCCATTCACGGTTCGTCGGGACCAGCTGTCCCTGGGATGTGAGTCTTCTGAATTCCCTGTAGACGCCTTGTTCCTCAACGCATCCTTCGCGCTGGATAAGGGGAGAATCTAGGAATTATCAGCACACATGTAATTTTTTTTTTTTTTCTTCTTCATTTCGATTCAGGCACTTACCATATGCGGGCGCCATCCTTAAATCACCAACTGAACTGTTGAACAGCACCAACGACAGCCGCTCTTCATTCAACTGATCCACAGGTGGCTTATACACGCGATGGCGTGTTGCCTTGAAGTGTCCTCCGGACACAATTTCCAAAGTGTCCCCGATGTTGATAACCAACGCACCGGGCTTGTACGGCACATAATACCATTGTTCATCACGGCCCCAGATCTGAAGGCACGAGATGGGAACAGAGAACAACAACGTGGTCAAGCCGAAGTCGGTGTGTCCATGCATGCGCAGACCCTTCGAAGCCTCCTCGGTTTGCTTCTGCACAGGTCGGAAAAGAGCATGTCGGAAGTAGCCTTCTCCGGTTGGGCTACCATGAGACTGGACATTGTTCCAGAGGTAGTCATCCGGTAGCTCGAGAACGCGGGAAAAGAGTGTCAGCAGTCGTCGGTTGACCGACTGTGTCAAGTAGTTACAGAAGGCCTCAATCTCGTCCATGAACGGATGCAGGCATGTGGGAACTCGGTTGATGTCTTCCCAGTCCGGCTTGTACCAGTTGAATTGCTCAATTCCGTCTGCGGGGCCACGATTGCGCTGTCCATCGATGGTTAGTTGCTAAGTCTTCTAGAGGATATGTGGTTGTATCCTACCTTGAATCCGTAAGGGTGCTTGTATCCGGACCAGACACCTGTGTCAGGGTGGAATAGCAGACGCTCCTTGTCTTCCTCACTGATGTTGTTGTAGAGATACTGTGCGAGGGCGAACTGGCGGTGGAGCTGGAAGTGGTATTTATTAGGGTCCGGCTTTGTCACTATTGGGGGTTTCAACTCACCTGTTCCAAGGAAACGCCGTAGTTCTCGAGGAAGAGGAAGCCGTCGTCGCGGATGGCAATCTTAACCTGTTGGATCAAATGATCCACCACTGCTGGGTCTTCTGAGTCGAGCAGCGAAAGGTCAATCGATTTGAGCTGAGCAAAATTGTGCTTTTCTTTTGTCACAGGAGGAGGAACCCATTCTGGCACAGATGGCTTCCCAGGGAGGTCAGCCGAAGGAGGATTGAATGGAGCTGTGGGTGCCATGGTGGTGTTTAGAGAATGGAGAATAATATTGTCTGATCAGTGATATGCGGTGACAGTGATATAGCTAATTGATATCTCTCGTTCTTCTATTCTGCTTTGAAGACTGATTATATACACGTTCCAAGTGACGCTCTATCGACGTCCGCAATGCCCAGAACACACCAAATCATGTGGTATGGTTCAGGGGAGCTCTTCTGGCAGAGGAGCCCATCCCTCCGGAGCAGCAATGGAAATGAAACAATGACATGGTGAAGGCTTATCGAAGCTCGCATTTTCCTGCTCCTGACCACACCCTCCTCCCTCAACAGCCTCGCTATCTTAGCGTATCCGATAGGGTTGCCTTTCGCATCACCGAAGGTGGTTAGTACATGCCGATCAACCAGGCTAGTCAGGTATAACCGCGATAACGATAAGGGAGGAGCTCCTCCCACAGCAGCCGGATTGTAGGCTTGGCATCGCCGTCACGAGAAATGCCGCAGCAAATGGACTGGGAAAGAAGTCATTTAAAGGGGGGTTTCAAGGGCGTTGGCATCCCATATTCAGACCACAATCTCTAATCTCAAAGTTCTGACGATCACCACATTTGTCAATCCAATCACAATGTCGCGCCAACTTATCTCGAGCGAGAAATTCCCTCCTAAGCCTCACAACTGTGAGTAGACCTTCCGAGTTGTGCATCAGAAGAGGGATTTGACTAACTTGTATCTGCAGGCCCCGCGGTCAAGGTTCCCGGACTCGTCTTCTGTGCCGGTCAGACAGCCACTGGAGAGATCAAGCAAGCCACAGTAAGCCTTCACCGCACAGCATTCTCTTAGTGCAGAGTCCATTCATCTAACTATCTTGACAGCGAACTGTACTCCAAAATCTTAAGGAGGTGCTTGAGCTGTCTGGATCCTCGCTCGAGCAAGTAGTCAAGTACAATGTGTATCTTGCAGACATGAAGGACTTTGCTGCCATGAATGAGGTATATATCGATTTCCTGCCCAAGCCAATGCCTTCTCGGTCGTGTCTGCAGGCAGTTCCTCCGGGTGATGGAACGGTTATTGAGATTGAATGCATTGCGCAGGCCTGAGACACTGGATTGTTCGGGAAGGATTATCAACGAAGAAAATAAATGTTTATGATATTTCAAAAAGAATTATTTTGGTCATCAGACAACTTTCATGCTTCAGCACTAATTGGGGCTGTAACCGGCTGCATTGGTATGTGATGGCTATTGCTTGGGAGCTGTGACTCGAAAGTCGTCCAAGGTTCCCGTAGTGACGTGTAAATGCAATCAGAGCCCTGAAGAGCCCATGTACAAAGCCCACAAGCATATAGTAGAAACTGAGGCTCGCAAGTGAGTCGGTCATGATGTGTAGTCGAGCAGGAAAGCGCGAGAAGTCACACTTGTGTCAGGTGATTTCGTGATCCACGATGGGTCTCCCTCTCCTCTCTCTCTCTCTCTCTCTCTCTGTAGATCTTTACTTCATCCCCTCGCCTATTTTCCATGCCATGCCATCATCAACTCATTGGCATTTGTCAGTTCCATCTCTATTCAATCATGGCTATAACCGGTACAGCTCATAAGCCATGCTACAGCAGAGAAAACCTTCAATACGAATAGATGCTCTCAATATTCTTAGTTCGTCAAAATTAAAACTTCTTCTATTCTATACAATCTACCCTGCCTATGATCGTGCTACCTCAAACTCTGCCATATACCAGTTCTGAATAGCTTTGGTGTCGCCTGTGATAGCGACCGTGTCGTATGTCTTCCTGGCCTCCTTTGCCAAGCTCCCATTGTTGACCATTCTCCCTGCCCACTTGCCATGCTTCCTTGCCGACGCAACAATCTTTTCAACCGCAGCAACAAACTCCGGCTCATCTCCCCGTGCAGGGACGTATCCGAGGAGAGACTGCGCCAAGTCATTGGGCCCGATGAAGACAAGATCCACCCCTGGTACGGCACAGATTGCGTCGACATTCTCCACACCAGCACGGGTCTCAATTTGAATCATAGTAATGATGGTCTCGTTGGCCGACTTCATATACTCGGGGGTAGTCAGGCCGTGGCCAATGGCAGGAAAAGCGGACCCTTGCCCTCGCAGTCCCTGTGGTGGGAATTTGGCAGAAGCGACCACTTGGAATGCCTCTTCGGCAGTATTGATTTGAGGGACCATGATGCCATGCGCACCCGTATCAAGCGCACGTTTGACAATATCATGAGTGGGACCGCGAATACGGATGATTGGGGATACACCCAGGGAGGAAATGGCTGCGACAGAGTTGTGCATGGCATCGTCGGAGATATGACCATGCTCGCAATCGATAATGATGCCGTCCACCCCAGTTAGGGCGACGATTTGGGCCATGCGCACGGAAGGAAGGGCCATGAAAGTCATTAACGGATATTCTCCGGCTTTGATCTTATTGAGAAGCCGGAGCCGAGGGTTGGAGATCTCGGTTGTGAGAGGAGTGGGGTAGGTCTTCGTGTAAGTCATCGTGTCGGTGGTGTCAGGAGGACGTTGAGATAGGCAATGACGGCTCTTACTGGACTCGCCGACATTGTCAGTTAAGTAGTTGGCCTACTACAGGGATTTTGATGGTGTTCAAGATGATTCACCAATGCGGGGCGTTGATCGGGAGGAGTGTTTAGCGTTCCGGGAGGAGCTCCGCCGATCCATCTCAACTCCTCTTCCTCCTCCACTCCTCCTTGGAAGGTTTGACACACGGGTTGAGCTGCGCTCCCACGGGGGATAAAAGATAAGGTTAGTGCGCTCCTCCCCCCTTATCTACCCGGCGCTTGATTGCCAGCGAATCAGTGACTCACCATCGTTCGTAACAGACTCCACATCAATAGCCGGTCGGCATTACCCAGATGTCATGGGAAACGGCGGCCTGTCCAATCAAGATAACATGATATACACCTTTGATGTTCCTTAATATCTTGGCCAATCTCCCCCTGGGGCAACAGCTTGTAGGTGCCTTTCCAAGCCTCCATTCCTGCTGTTATGGATCTCAAAAAACGCCCCTCGTCCATTAAGTCGGAGGGTAATATCTCCTCTGCAGAAGGACAGGTCAATGATGTCGTTGGTGATGCGTATGAGCGGATGCCAGAGTCGCTACGCAGTCTCAGCGAAGATGAGCGCCAACGCCTCAATCGGAGAATCGTCCGCAAGGTAGACCTCATGGTTCTGCCTACCATTGGCATCTTATACATTCTGAACTACATCGATCGTCAAAACCTTGCTTCGGCCAAGCTGCAGGGCATCATGGAAGATCTCCAAATGTCAACCGAGCAATTCGCCACAGCCGTCTCAATTCTCTTCGTCGGCTATCTGCCCTTCCAGATTCCCAGCAACCTCCTCATTACCAAGATTTCCCGGCCAGGTATGTACATCTGTCTTGCTGTCTCCATCTGGGGCTGCATTTCAGCTGCAACCGCGGCTGTTCATAACTACGGCCAATTGCTCGCCGTGCGTGCAGTTCTTGGTATCGCCGAAGCCGTCTTCTTCCCGGGTGCAATCTATTACCTCTCAGCCTGGTACACCAAAGCCGAGCTGGGCAAGCGGATAGCCGGTCTCTACATTGCCCAACAAGTCGGCAACGCCTTTGGTGGACTCTTCGCCGCTGCCATTCTTCAATTGGACGGTGTCCATAACATCGCTGGTTGGCAATGGCTCTTCATCATCGAAGGAAGCGCCACAGTCGGCATCGGCATAATCTGCGCTTTAATAATGCCTGAATTTCCCCACAATAGTCGCATCCTCTCCCCGATTGAGCGGGACTTCGCTGTCTGGCGCATCGAATCCGAAGCCGGAGCCGCCGAGGGCACAGAGAACGAACCTATCCTTCGCGGATTCATCAAAGCCCTCTCCGACCCTAAACTCCTTCTTTTGATCTTCTCGAACATGCTCTCTCAGACCCAAGGTTCCATCGCCAATTATTTCCCCACCTTGATCGGCTCCCTCGGCTTCTCTTCCAACACCATCAGCCTCCTCCTCACCGCACCGCCCTACATCCTCGCAGGCATAATCTACTATTTCATCATGTTCTACTCGGATCGCTACAACACCATCTATCCTCTCATTCTGGGCTGCGTCTCCATCTCCATCGTGATGTACATCATTCTCATGTCGACTTTGAACATTGGCGCACGATACTTTGCCATGATGATCCTCCCGTTCGCCTCGGTTGGTCCACAGCTTCTCCTCTACAAAACTATCAACTTGCATCTGGCCCGTCCAGTGTCTAAGCGCGCTGCTGCTTCGGCTCTGGTGAATGCCATTGGCGGTACGTCGAACATCTGGGCGTCGTATTTATACTACGATGGTCCGCACTTCTATGCGGCTTTTGGAACACTCATGGGCGCGGCATTCCTCTTGGCTGCTACGGTGACGGTGTATCGTTGGTGCGTACGCCGCGAGAATAAGTATCTCGACTCTGGTGATCCAGACTTGATCGGCAAGGTAGTCAAGAGAGGTGTTACAGAAGAGATGGTGCAGCTCCGGTGGCGATACGAGATGTACTGATTCCTACACGTAATACTCTGCAAATAGCCTTGATATAATCAGAATATGTAGTAGCCACACACATTGATAAATAAAACATCTTTACAGTACACACACACACAACAGCAGTCAATCTAAACCCCCCAAACACCCCAAAACCAACCTCCCAATAACCCACCTCTCCCTCCTAGCAAACACCCTCCTAGCCCACTCCACCGCACCGCGCACATCCCCATCCCCCACTCCCACCACCCCCATCGCCCCCGGCACACCCCCTCTAACCAACTGCCACGCGACCAAAAACGCCTTATACGCATACAGTGTCACCCACGGCGCCTCTCCCTCCACATCCCCCTCCTCTAAATAGGTCAGAAACCAATCCACATGCGGCTGGAACGCCTTCGCTGTCTCCTCACAGAGGAACTCACACGCCGAAGGCGCCAACTCCGTCGCCTGCTGGAGCATGGTGTCGATACTGGCTTTGACGATGCCACCTGTGTGGCTGGGAGACCACATCTGTAGCTCGATCATGGCTGTTTGCCAGGTTGCGGTGGTGTGGGCGGATTTAGCGTTATAGGTAGTAGAGGGCGTCGGTGTTGGTGTTGGTGATGGGGAAAGAAACACTCCCAAAGACAGGAGAGACGACCGTAGAGCGGAGAACCGTTCCATGCTCAGCATGCCGGTCATGGTAGACCAGCCGGAGATTTCGCGCGCGCTGGAGATCAGGAAGTGGGTGATGTTGATGGCGCCGTAGGGGTCGAAGGGGGGGATCGATGATGTGGAATCTGTAGATGAGGAGAGGAAGTGCCGGACTGCGTCGTCGTAGCGCATACTGGTTGGGTGTTTATGATGTTGTTGTTGGGAGATGAGTTGGAGATGGGCCCATTGGGCGGCGGAGGGGGCGGTCCAGTGGGTTTCTGGACAGGGCAGATCGTGTTTGATTTCGAGGTGGGAGATGGCGCGTGGGATGGAGAGGAGTTGGTACCAGAGTGCGTCGATTTGGTGAACGGCGAAGAGGGTCCGTTTGTGGGATTCGGCTTTGATGAATTCTTTCCACAGGGAGTCGAGGTCCAAGGTGTGTGCACATTCGGTGGTTATGGGCTGCATGAGGCCTGTGGAGCGCGCGAGGGATATCATGGTCGCGTGCATTTGGAGGCCTTGGATCGAGTCGGAGCCGCAGAGGTACATCATGGCGCAGATTTGGAGGAGGAGGTAGGTTTGCACTAGGGAGAGGTGGTCGGTGATGGTAGAGTTAGGGTGGTTGCTGGAGGAGAGGCTGGAGCGGGCGCGGAGGTAGCAGCGGGTGGAGAGGCTTGTGCCCGTGCCCGTGCGGGCATCGCATTCCGGGTCTTCGCCGTATTGGTATGAGAGGGAGAGCATGGCGAGGAGGAGGTGGGAGGGTATGGCACTGGGGTCGAATGTTGGGTGGTGTAGAAATGGAAGAAAGTGCGAGACATGGGTGAAGAATAAGCTGCAGCCCTCGCGGATTTGTGAGGCGGAAGGAAACCAGCTGTTTTGGGGCTGGGTGCTCTCGGGCGCAATAGGGATAACAGAGAGATCTTTGGGAAAGCTGAGGTCGCCGAGGTCAATGTCCGACGGAGACTGTAGATTGGATATCGCGAGCGGCTGGGTGCTGAGTTGATCGGTTGGTTGGGGAAGTGATGTTTCGCGTAACAGGCTACGCTCCAGTTCTAACGCATCTAGCAAACGAGACTCGTCCATTGGTATATGTTGCGTCGGATTACCTGGAACAGACTGGATACGATCGCTGTTTTCTATGGGTGATGTGCTGGACGCAGTGCTGGTTCCTCCTGCATCTGGGTCATGTCCATCCTCGTAGTGTATTTGCGAAAGATCAGACGTCCAACAAGACCTATCTAACTGCAGGTCATCGACATTCTGCAGTTGCCCACGATGCTGGCCAGTATCCTGGCATAGGGTAGCATAGCTATCCCTTTGCTTTGGCCTCTTCGTCGCTCGTCTTTGCTCGTGCTCTGCATGTTTCCTCTTCATATGGCGATGGCGCAAGTCCGGACGCGAAAAGGTAGCCTGGCACAAGTCACACGGCAAGGTGATTTCCTTTCGAGAGCGGGAATGAAGTGCTGCGTGTCGTTTGAGGTTCTCATGTCGAGTGAAACGGCGTAGACAAACCATGCATTGGAATGGCTGGTAGGAAGTCATGGCTGCGTGGGTGTGGATGATATCCGCCATAAGGAGAAGCTGAGGATGAAGAAGAACAGAGAGGGGCACGGCAGACGGAACAAATGAGCAATTCCGGGGCGCATAGTACTACCCCACCCCCGCAATTTGTCTAGTCGATCCTTCGGTTCGCAGGTGACGGGTGGTTGGTTGCCCTCCGCACGCTTGGACTGTGTGACAGTTGGATAGCATTCGGCTATGGGAAATAATATTCTGGTCATAAGTGGTTTTTCCAACAGAAAACGACAGAAGGAAGGAGGAGTGAAGGAAAATGGAGAAACTTGGTCTTATCAATGTCAGGTCGGCTATTGACTCTTATCTGATATCGTCCGCCTTCCCCAGATAACGATCTTTATGTTTTCTCTGATTGGTCAGTATCCCCTATCTAGGCACCACTACTGGTTCTGCCGGCTATACCTCCGACATTATACATCTGGTAATTGCGTAGGCACGGTTAGTGCTTTCAGCTCCTGGAGTGTATCAGACCTGTTAGGAAGGTTCAATTGATTTCAGGAACTATACAATAGTAAGAGTTTTTCGCATAAACTGTCGTCTCCACAGAATTTGAAAACCCCTGATTCACTTCACCCGACTGCCAAGACTCAAGTAAGTAGCATCAATCCAAGCATTCACAATACATGATCAAGATATATCTTTCATATTTTCACCACTTATGATGCCAGTATACTCATTAGTGCTCAAAATACATAAAGCCTGATAGACATGGTCAAGAAAAGATCCGACTCCCTCCTAAGGCTGAAAGAAACAATCCGATATCATCTGACTGCCAAGACGCGCAGAAAACCCGATCGGGCCAAAAGAGCAAAATAGGGCCGATCCGCAACCACGGTACGATCTGTCTTTTAATTCATTCAACTACCTATATATTCCTCGTAGCAGGCAGAACCGTTTCCCACACAACAAACATTTTCTTGTGTTTGAGAATTCTCATCTCGTTTTCATGCCACAACCAACAAAATGAATGCCGATGAGAAAACCACTACCTCAGTCCTACCCTCTGGGCCAACTCCTTCGCAAAATGCTTCTATCCTTCGAAGGATTGCACCGAATGGGTGGACGTAAGTGAATAGGACCATTTTCAGTTGGATTCTTGTATGTCAGAGCTAACTCTTCTTTTTCAGGTTACTGTACATCGTATTGTTCACTGCCAGTATAAGATGTCTTTGGAGTTATATGCAGTGGCCCAATGGAGGGGATTTGGCTCTAGCGCTCCATACTGGGTTATTAATACTGTATCTTGTTGTATGGCGCTACGTTGATGGGCAGTAAAATAGTATGGATTTTGCTACGTAGAAAGGGCAAATTCTCCGACATTTGCTACCCCATCTTAGGATGGACTCAGTTTGCTGTGTCCGGGGATTTATTTTTTCTTTCTTGTCGACAATGTTCTTTAATCTATGTTTATATCCAGAGAGATACCTATTAGAACAATGATTCTTTTACTGAAATATGGAGAATCCCTGTTATCTGAATATTGACCAGTTAAGAGGCACGTATTTGATACTGTATAGGGGGGACCTGATCGATAATAACTCTGCTTGATAGTAGACAGCCTCCTACTTTGAGGTCTGTGCACCATACCCCGTCTCCAAGATTGGTTAGCCGACCACGTAGGTACAGTATGCAACTTGCTTACCCCAGGATTTTATGCCTGGTTGATCTGGCAGACATACGAATAGCCCACGATACCTAGTAAAAAAAAGAAAACCCCTAAAACATTAAAAAGGAGGATATGATGATCCTCAAGTTGATTATATGCTCCGCAAATCATTATGGATGATACAAAATTTGTACAGGTCCAATCCCAGTAATGCTGAGGAGAAACAGAGTTCGCGTGAATCAATGGATCGCTCAGTATAATCCAGAATAAATGCCCAAATGTGCTCAAAACTTCTTCGTGCTGTTCGTTGTCGCTAAAAATGTGTGAAATGGTGCTGATGAACGTAAATTGGTCAAGATGCTGTCAAGATGCGGAACCCTCTCAGGGTCATTGAAGATATGCCATGCTTAAAATATACCAAATCGTTTCGATTTCCCGTCTGTGCCATTCATTAGATAGGTTGTGACAATTTAGAGGGCATACGCACCTTTCTTTTCCTTCTGCCCGCGGCCAGTGCCCGCAGCTGCTGCACTGGCCTTCCCGGGATTAACCCCGTCGACAGCTGCTCGAATGGCGGCAATTCGGCGCTTAGCTCGGATGTCGCCTTGGTCCGCTGCTTGCACGTACCAAACGTTGGCTGCTAGGTGGTCTGGCCGACAGCCAATTCCTGTTTCCGTAAAGTATCCAACCGCATATTGCGCCTTGGTGAGCCCTGCGGCAACGTCAGCATTCCATGGATTGCGTGATAGACATTACAGGTCTTACCAGTCTCCGCGGCACGTTTAGCCCATTCGTAGGCTTCATATTCATCCTTTTCAAGCACCGGCTCTGCTCCGATGAGGTACCAAGCACACAGTGCCATCATGGCCAGAGGGTGGCCACCCTGTGCAGCGTTGGTATAGAAATGGATCGACAAAGCAGGGTCTCTGGGGCATTCGAGTTTGCCGTGTTCGTAGGCATCGCCCAAGCGATAGCTGGCCTCAATGTGGCCTAAGTCCGCTGCTTTAGTGAACAGCTGGGCAGCATAAGCAGGGTCTGGAAATACGTCATCGCCATATCCCGTTTCATGCATTAATCCTAATTCGTAAGGAGCAGAGTTATACTGAGCATCGGATGAATCTGTAGCGCGTTTCATCCACTTGATGCCTTCGCGATAGCGCTTTCCGAGCCCCATGTCGCCCTCCAGACAGGCCTTCGCCATACGTAGCATCGCGCCGGGGTGGTTTTTGGATGCTGCCTGGCGGTAGAACTGCTGTGCCCGGGCGGCTTCAACTCGGGTACCCCAGCCAAACTCATAGCACAAAGCAGTCCGGTAGCATGCTTCGACATGTCCGTGTTTACTGGCTGCTAGAAACAGTGGAAACGCTCGGTCATAGTCCTCTTTCCCTTTGCTGAACAACCCCGAAGCATATCCGTCAGCCAGATAGTATTGAGCAAAGGGATAGCTACGATCAGCCAGGCGCTGGAGGATGGATTTGGACTCTCGTAGAAGGCTAGCACGGTTAATGTCGCTTCCCTTCCGGCCATACACTGCGGATGCACCGTCGACCTCATCGGGAGGCATTTCCAACATTGCATTCACCATAAAGATGGCAAACTCATACTGGATGGCGGGGTCATCAGTCTTCTTGACATTTGCCAGATACATGTCGAACGTTTGCTTGTGGCTCAGCAGCGATGCGTTATTGCCGACAGCAGATTGCAGATGGGAGTTGTCAATCTGAACAGGGGCAGGTCCGGGTTGCGGATAGCAGCTGTTAAGCTGTTCAACGAAGGATACTGGTCGGACATCAGGAGATACACTGGATTCACGGGATGGTGCACGGGCGTGAAGGTATGGGGAGAGCCGAGAAGATCTCCGTCTTTCACCCAGGTCGGAGCCGAGCGAGTGTGTCGAAAGCGAGCGACGATTGGCGGCTGGGCGTGGCTTCGGCAGATTCTCGGATGAGCCACTTGCTGGTGATTGTCGGTTTGCAGGCTGGGGAGCTTCGTACGGTCGATGATGGTAGTGCAAAGGTTCGTAGATTTCGGAGGCTTGCGTTGCGCTGTCGAGACTATCTCGGGAAGAGCTGGTCTGACTGTCCTTGGCAGGTCGTTGGTCCAAGGAAGACGTGCTAGTATTGGCGAGACTATCATGTTTTGTGTGAGGATCGACTACTGACCAAGAGGCACTGCTACGAGGCGTGTGTCCGTAAGCCGCATTCTCTGGTAGCTGGCCGGCTTTGAAGATTTCCACCCCCGGTGGGGATGATGCGTCGATGGTCTTTCCATGAGTCTGCTGCTGCTCAGAGAGGGATATTTGGGCGAATTCATCAGTGGGAAGCGTCATTTCAAAACCATCCTCATGAAACTCCGGCACTGGCTGATCGCTTTCTCCATGGATTCTGACCCGTGGAACCGAATACCGTTGGCTTTCGGGGCGATCTTCCGGCATGGACACCGGATCTGTCAGAGATTTCCTGAGAATAGGCTTGCTGTATAAGCGATTGAAGCTGTCCCGGCGGGGTTCACGGGGCACCGGGGGAATGGGGGGAGAAGAACGAAGGTAAACAGGCGGAGGGGAAGAAAGCGGCTGGGGATAGCCGCCGCTGGCAGAGCGCTCCATCCCGCTTGATTCTTGTGTTTGAGATGCGATCGGTGAATCCAAAATGCAAAAAATGTATAATTCGAGCCTGGTCGCAGAACAATCCTTGACAGTGGGGACGTCCGTCAAGGGGATTTGGATTGACCCGGGAGTTATGCGATAAATTGTGGACTATGCATGGAATATGAAACCTGCCATGTGCGCTGGAGCGAGGTGACGAGGGTCTTGGGAGCTGCAAACGAATGGAACGAGACAAGGCAACGAGGGGAGATCAGGGATCGCGGGACAAGGGACTGCTGGAATGTGGAGAAGCTGGAGCAGGATGATGGGTCAGCTCAGGGAAATTCGGGGTCCACCGGGAAAATAGGCCTACCTTGCAGCAAACGCTAAACGACGGGTCCTGATGGGATGCAGCTGTTGGATTCCATCACGCAGAGCAGAGGAGTGAATGGGCACACGGGGGGGACAAACGAAGGTCCAAAGGCCACTCAAACGAAGCGAGAGAGCCGTTGAAAGAAAGAGAAAAGACTGCCAAGTGGGATTGGCAAAGAAGTGGGAGGAATTTTGGGGGGGGAGAGGCAGAAGAGGAGAAATGGCTCGGGAAGAGAGTTGCGCCCAGAAGTCAATTCCGGCTTAGTTCCGTATAGAATATGAGACTAGTAACAACGATACTTACTAGATACCTCCGTCCTTACTCAAAACTCCCACCAGTTGACTGGTGGATGCCTCCACTGGAGGTGACTTTTAACACCATCCACTGTCACGGGGTCATGAAGAGGCAAGCTTACACTTACTCCTCTCGGCCCGACTAGCCCGACTGGGATGACAGCATCGCCAAAAATAGCCAGTTCGTCTGTCTGCTTACGCTGCCTGTACCATGCGTGTCTCACTGTCTCACTTTCGCTTCCTCGACTACTACAGAGGACACGTTCAAGGCAACCCAATCATTCCTCCCATGCCACCACTGCGCGGTTCGTTTGGCTCCTTCAGGAATTAAAATGTGTCGCATGTCTTAGGCTGCCGGGTGTCAAAGCTCCCGAGCTATTTCCACGATCCATGGGTCATGAGGGGAACTCTGGATTCGGATTCAATAGTGGTTCCGTTCTAGTGCTACTATGACGGTGGTTAATTATGGTGGCTGGTTTAATTTAAACTACTCGACCACGACCCCTCCATTGAACTTAGTGGCTGTCATGAAGGGTGGACCCTTAAGGCACTTTGCTCAGCCCATGTGAGCTGGCTTAGCCGGTTATTGCATTTGTTACCTCTTCTTTCTGTTGTCACCTTCAGACTTGCACAGTTGTTGCATGGCTGATTCCCACTACTGGCTGCACCAAGCACTGTAAAGCAGACAACGGCTCATCCATCTCAATCCTCATCCACTTTTGACTATGATCTCCGTTAGGCAACCTTTATCTGCGCTGGTCCACTACAACAGGTACTAATCCTCAAGAATAAGAGGGTTGTCAAACATGGTGGCTCATGTTGAACCTAAACCCAGCTAATAATCCCCCACACCCCTCTCAAACAAGTATGTATGTACTGGTAATAAATGAGATGGCGTGACAGCGATCCAAGCTCGCATCTTCCCGCCTTTAGCCTTTCGGACACGGAGGCCACAGGCCACAAGGCTGCTCCGTCCAGATTGTTTCAAATTGTCCATATTTTAGCGGAAGAATCGGAACCCCGTCGGGCCAGTCGATGATTGGTGCGCGCGGTCCAGAGGACACGACGGAGCGGTCTCGGCGCACAGTCCAGATTCGGGTCCTCCCATTGGCCTCCAGAGCAAAGGGCAATCGTTTGCCCGGATTCCGTTCCTCTTGGCTCAGTCCCTCGCTTGTTGTTTTCTTGACATGACAGCTATGACTGGTTCATTTCTCCAACTACAACATAGTGAATACATATCCTTTATGACTAGGAGATGTATCTTCCAACGCTCTAATACTTAAGAAAAGGTATCTCTTATTATGTCCGATATACCCTGCTCGATACCAATAATGCTCAGGCCGTCTGAGGTCACGTACTTATTAGATACAGATGACGTGCCGTAACAGAATCTGGTAGTCGAAATTGAAACATTGACATCCATTAAGTTCCATAGACACGTCATGGATAAGTGTGTGGTCCGTCTTGGAATGGGGACATGCCACTTCCGTTATGGACCTTCGTTATCAAGTTGGCTTGACTGATACACTGGAACAATACATTGAGCATTGCTAGCAGCGATAACAAAAGGATCTTGAATATTTGATCGAGGTATCTAGAGCATGGTCTTTGTATCTAGTCCTTACATATATGTCTATTTATGATGTCTTTACAGTCTAACGGGCATGTCAGATATGTGATTCAGCACCATACGATGTGATCCAGGCATTTGACAATGCAAGACAGATGCCAAAAAGCATACATTGATCCCACGAGCGAACATCAAGGAACCCCACAAAGCATGGGTCGGATCATACCCAAGCTGATCTTCGACAGTCTCAATCCTCGGGATTAGCGTAATGTTGTTACGCGATAAACTTTCGAATGATTACCGCGCAGTCCTGACGAACGATGCACATACAGAAGAGTCATTAAGGAGCTGTTCTCATATCACGTGCACGGATATTATCATTCAGACTGGCGATCGATCTCTGTCATCTGGAAGCACGTGGTAAGGTCGGCATTGATCCTCAATTACTTGAGGTGCAGATCGTGGGCTTCCTTTAGGATTTATGTATACGATGTATCAATTCGAGCGCACCATTTCAAGCTCTGAGATAAAAACTTGTCGGGCCTTGTGTCAGGAGTAGTAACTCAAAGCATCGACAGTAAAGTCGTTACTGACGATTCTTGATTAGGTGACCAGGTAGAGACGTCGACCTTCAAGCTAACTCTATAATTAGGTGAGCGGATACCGAACTCATGTCCGTTCGAGAGTGGAGAGGCGAGATTGCCGATCGCCTCGGGACCTGAACGAACGATGAAGTAGTATTTGCCTTGGTCAGGGGTAGGGGGGAATAATAACCCCGCTTATAAAAGGGGTGTGACCATGAGAATTGACTATATCAATTGTTCGGAGCTACTATGGGGCCCCTATTGATCATGAAATGAGGTACATACGGATAAGAGATAATGCACCAAGCATTCAGGCGAACCCCTCGAGGCAGGATAGTCCATTTTATAACAGGTTCGACAGTGAAGGATATCAAGCTTCAATGAGTCAAGAAACCAGTATCCAGCAAGGGATTCTGTCCGTGGGGTGTTCCTTAGCAGCAGATTTGAGAGGAATGTTGGTTGAAGATGGGGGGATACACGGCTCATCTCCAAGACATCCCCTACATCCTTGGCAAGGAGGCGGACAGATAACGAATGTTTCTAGAGCAATAGCAATACACACATTCAGGTGTTCCGTGTTGGTGTTGGCGTTTCAATATGTGACCCCAAGTTAAAGTAATGATGTTTTGGCCAGGTCGCATTTCTGCTTAAGCGAGATATCAACAGGAGACTCACAGGGCTAAAATAATCTCCGATGTTGCGTCGTGCAATGATTAGCGAGGAGAAGATCTCCTGAGCAAGCAAGGCATAATGTCTCAAGATTTGGGGATGATAAAGGGGGGGGTTTCTTATCTTATCGCAGCGGTGATCAAGCTTAGAAGAGCTCCACCTGCGCGTCAATACTGGCTGATCGGAAGAATAGTCTATCGTCGTGCTAGAGTGACAGTAGCTAGCTAGAACAAAGTCTCTATTGTGGAAGAGAATGAACGCGAGTTCATTGTGGCAAAGATCATATCTCCAAAGCAGAGGCAGCAACGTAAAAACTCCAGCATCCAAGTCTCCGCCCGCCCACTGTGCCAAGGCATCAAGGACGCAGTAGTGTAGCAATTGCCAAGGGGACGCCCTGAATCCAGCCCGCAACCCCGGCGACTATTGGCCCCCGGGCCTGCCGATCGCACCGGGCGATGGAGCTGGGCTGGAGCCGACAATGGGCTGTCACTCGTCCACGGCGCCTCGCCAGCCAGGGGGCCTGCCGATCCCAACCCCAGGGTCCCGCGCCGATCCCGCCGATTGCTGTTTCGGCCTGCGTTGGCGATGCTGCTGCTGCTGCTGCTGCTTCCCTACTATCTACGTAGTAATTCTGCCCACAATAACCTGCTTTTTACGTGTATAATTTTTATTCCAAAAATAACCGGTGGGCTAACCGTGTGCCTGCATCACATTCACCGTTGACTCACTTTGATGATGACGCCCGATCGGAAGGAGCATCGATCGACAGCGCCTCCTCTCCCTACCTAAATAAACGGTCGCGCCCATCCCCATCCCTCTTCGTCATCCCTACCTGACCCGTCTTTTGTTACTTTCCTCTTCCTCCCAACCTTCTCTCCCTCCACGTTCTTAACATTCCAATCCTCCCTCGTGCTCGCCCAGGTATGTGCCATTTCCAATTCCTATTGTCTTGATATTTTAGAATAACCTCATTTGTCCAGAGACTAACAACGATCAATCTTCTAGCAATCACAGACACACGCCACCAATAACCTCTTTCCTCTTCAAATCCCTTTACTCTACAATCACAATGCGTTTCTTCGCTGTCATCGCTCTCCTCGCCTCTGTTGCCGTCGCCAGACCGGCTGAGAATGGCGCGCTGAACGTCCAGGTGATGTGCCTTGGAGTGAGTTTGGCCACTTCCCTCATGTCATGATACAACAGCTTCGCTAACAATCCCCAGCGGAACGACGGCATGTGCGTTGGCGGCAACATCACGGCCGCTGGAAACAGCTGCTGCCCTCCTCTCGTCTGCGGAAGTGACCGAGTAAGTGTTTGATAATAACAACGGCGATCGAGACAATGACTAACAGACATTCCCAACAGCTCTGCCACTAAACGCCGAGCAACGCAGTCTACCATGTTGACAACGAGGATTAACTCCTAAGCTTTGAAGATACCTAATGTGTGTTGGGGATAAAGGTGTGATGTCGGATACGCGGGCGTGGTGATGAAGGCATCTCGAACGGCCGGGTTCATATTGTACTTGTCGA